AAAAAAAAAAAAAAAAAAGTTTAATTAAGAATATAATGATAGCTCCTGAGAACTTTAAACTTTGGGACCAATAGTTTGACAGCATCAACTAGGAGACATGGGCCCCTGCGACTGATATGCTAGGAAGCAGAAAGTCATTTAAAATAAATTTTACTAAGTGTGAAGTAATAATAGCTTCTGTTACATTTATTTTAAAGAAATTTGTAGTGATGCTAAAAAGTGCATCCGTTTTTCAAAATAAAGGTTTGATTTTTCCGCATTTTCTTCACACAACGATAATTTCAGCCATATTAAGTGATTGGAGGTCATGTTTCAACAGGCCCATGAAAAGAAGGAGGAGATGAACCAGCGGATCCTGGCCTTGCGGGACGTCAAGGTCCAGCTGGTGGCTCAGGCTCAGCACCTGCAGGAGGTCCAACAGGGGCGTCCAGCCCACCTCTGTCAGACTCCGCCCTGGTGGCCAAAAATGTTACCAGAAGAAACCCCAGAGAAGCAGCTGCAGCTCAACCAGGCCAGCTTGGAGCGATACCAGACCCTGAGAGCGCAGAGGTACGGAGCAGGGGTGGATCTAATGGACGGGGGGGCAGAGGGACCCTCAGAAAAAAGTCTTATTAATCAGTCATTCAGGAAACGTTCGTGTAGCACAGCAATACTCCAACTATTGGGCTTCCTAATGAGGCATCTGAGTAAAGCAGCGGTACGGTTTTCTCATTCCTGAAGCCTTTTGTTTAGGAATGGTAGGGAAAGGGTCCTTCAATCTGTTTATCTGTGACATCTCCACAGCAGGCTTTTATCTAGGAATATTTCATGATGTGTCCACCTCGGTGCTTGACATCTTTAGGCTTTGCGAATTGTAGGGGGGTCTGGGGGTATCCTCCCCTGGAAAAATGTAGAAAGTTAGACTCTGAAAACGCTATTTCCTGCATTTCGTGGTGGAATGTATCTAACTTTTGGTCTTTGTTCCAAGACTACTTAGGTCCTGATTAGGGGAAGTATGTGAGCTTGACCAGAGGTTGAAAATTCATAAAGATATTTGGTTGTGTGGCGGCTTTAAGGACCCAAATGCAGCAAGGAGTTGGCACGGATGAGTTTGGATGATTTAATGAAAGTCCAAGGGGAACGGAGGCAAAAATCCAAAATCCCAAAATACTGAAAACAAATAAAAGTCAGGGAAAATACTAGTGTTGCACCGATACCAGTATCGGACGGGGCCCCGATACTGCCCTAAAATGGTGGTATATGTATCGGCGAGTACCAATAAATAGGGC